CTACTTTGTTTCTATCTTGTATCACAAGCAAAATATGTTTTAACAAATTTAATAATGAGTTAACTCAATATATGTTGATAACTCTTTATAATCGTTACATTTAATATTCCTAAATGAAAAAATATCATACTCAGCAAACACAATGTTACATATAAAATATCTGTTAATTGTAATTTCCTATTTAACAATGTAATTGTTATATAAAAATCATATTGTTGATTAGGAAATTACGACTAACGTATGTTATATGTTACATTTTGTTTGTTGGGTTAGTTCAGCCGTCATTTTAAAAAACTAATTTAAAAATTACTATAAAAATTTAAAAATTTTAACAATATTTCAAAGAAGACAACTAGAAAGTCAGAACTGCGATATATCACATAATTACAATTTCACAATTCGATAAATCAAATTGAATCCCTTCTTTTCGCCGTGATTTGAAGTGTAGGTTAGGAAGCGCGGCTTCAGAATATTTGGATTCGCGCCAGCTGTCAAAACAAAACAACTATCTGTCAAACTTTCAGAAAGAAGGCACATTTTTCTATGCTCTCTAAACAAGTTTTTCACGATAAATATATTCCACTCACACTAATTTTACTTCAACAACTTCGATTCCCACCTTGCAAAATATTTCTGGGCGTTGTCTTATAACGTTTCCTTGAAGTCCACTGACGCAATAAACCATGATAACACCGGAAATCGAGTGAAAAGCGAATAAAAATATTTCAGAGAAAAAAAAGCAATTTATATTTCATATGAATTGTTTCGTGTTGAAGTTGTCCAACGATCTTTTATAAATTTGTTAATTTAAAAGATATCGAAATTTACAAATTTAAATTTAAATCAATATATTTCAAATATCACAAATTTAAATTTCAAATATTTCAAATATTTAAATTATATTATATTTTACTATATTCAAAAATTAAAAGAAAACATTCGAGATTTATACATTAATACTCATAACAAATATTTAAAAAATATATCCTCTCTGACGTTTACTAATATAAAAGGATAATTAGCTTTACTTTTTAGCACAAGAATCATCGATAAAAATTAAGAAATATCTTTTTGAGCCCAATATCTTTGAATACGAGCATAAAATAGCCATTGTTCAACGTATTCATTTACAAACGATTGCTGTTACGAACGAAGACTCCCTTAAAACTTTTTATCTTCGTAATTTTCACGGTAATTAATAATAATTCAAATACCTCACGGCAACTCGTTACTTTTTCCGATGACTTACGCAACAAACACAACATAGTTGGAACATTATGTTAAATTATGTTTATTATAAGGTGTATCTAATATATATATTTACAATCGCTTTAATACACGTAAAACCATTTAAGATAATATATCCGTATTCTTCGGCGTGTCACGGCGCTAACTTTTTCCTCGCTACCGTGAACGCTGGCAAAATTATGAGTTCTATGTCTTTCTTCGTTTTGTCGCCATAAAGTGCACCGCGACATGGCGGTATCGTGGATATTTGTCTATTTTGTGTATATGTGTGTGTTACATGTATGTGTGTGCGTGCATGTGTGTGTGTGTGTGTGTGTGTACCTGAGGCAAGGACCGTTGCTTGCTTTACTTGCTTGCTCGCTCGCATTACACATGCTTTGCGAATAGCAGGCTTCTTCGGGGTATAGAACAGGCAGGTAATGCCAAAGGGAGAAAGAAATAATCGTCCTCCTCCTTGTCTTCCTCTTTCGCTTCCTGCTCTTCTTTCTGTACACATCTGATAGCTTCCCCTCCCCCTTCTTCCCTCCCCAGCGTGCAGCACTACCGTCTAGGAAATTATTCTACTCTTAATCGCATATAATCGCATCGTTTTTATATTCGATCGTACGTCTAAACTTAGAAGATCCATATATGCGTAGTAGTACACAGTTTCTTCTACATTTGTATCTCGTTCGGGGACGGATTATGTCGGAAAGCCGAGAGAGAGAGAAGAGCGTGTGAAACTGTTTCCTCCTTTCCTTTTTTCTCTTTTCTAGTTTTTCTTTCTTCTTTTTCTTTTCTATATATTTTTTTTTTCTTTCTAAAAGACGACAATCAACTGTAGACGATGAACGACGTGCAGCAAGGTGCAGACGTCGTATTAAACGAGGCGTCGAATGTTTGTTTCGGTGATGATGATAATAATGATGATGGAGTTTGAATGTGCGTGAGGTACGGCTTAGGCTGAGTTGTACCGACAGTTTCGGTTGACTAAGTTTGATTAGTGAATCTACAGTCGGCCCTCTTCACATAATCGTCCTCTATTCCCCATTAATACGTAGATCGCGAAGACAGAGGATGTTAAACAGGGTTATCATGAAACGGTATTGACCCTCCACTGGCCCTTATACTGATATTCACGCATAGACGGTCGACTAATTCTGCATTAATTCCATTTTAGACAATTTATAATTCGCGACAGAATTGAACAAATCTGCTTGTGAGAGAAAACATTTGAAGAATTAAAATATAATTGGAATTATTAGAATTGTATACTTGTGTATGTGTGTATACAACAGATCTATGCATGTATATGATATATGGTATATATCATCTGTAGGTCTTCAAGTGTTTTTTATATCATACCGTACATAAAGCAAAATCCTGTCGCTAGCTATAATTTGTCTAAAGTGGGGCAGACGACGATGTAATTTGTTTTTGAGTTACGTTGAGTTACGTTGCTCCGACAGTGCAACTTAAGTCTTAGATTAGTCATTCCCCATTCTTCTTTATGCAGAATATCTCGAAATCACGGGATGTCTTTTTAACCGCAATTTCCTCGGCTAGTCGGATGGTAATTTCCCTACATTAAAAATATTTAAGAAAATCGTTATATATAACACACCTTCCAACTTTTACCATCGCATATTTCTCTGTAAATAAATTTCGAATTAAAATCCGCTCTAAAACTGAAAGATATGATTGGACCGGATAATTTGTTCTTCGAAGGCTTAACTTGTCGCAAGTCCCGTGCAATTTCGTGGATTATTCGAAAACTATAGTTGCCTATGGCACATTCGTCCAAAAAAAGAAAGAAAACTAACTCCAAACTGATCGAGAAATCTGCAATGAAAAAAGACATCCAACAGTTTTGAAATACTCGTATATAGATAACAGGATTACAGGATGAAGTATTCCGAATTAGGAGCCGACACAAAGATGCTCGCAAGATATTCGTGAATTCTTAGCTCTTCCATAAAAAGATTCGACTTTTCATAAAATAACTGCGAATTCGCGAAGACCGTACGTTACACGTTAGCGTATTGCAATCTTTTCGACAGCACAGATATTGAAAAAAGAAAGCTATTAATCAGATACGCATTGAATACAAGTTCGGGACCAATCAGGATTAGTATAGAATGACGTTGATGCAATCGACCGTCGTGCCGACGTCAATCCCAGATTTTACAGAGTTCGTTTTTTTCTTTTCTTTTATGGAATCTGAAAATGATAATAACAAAGTCAATACGAATTGTGTTTTCTTATTTCCTGTATTCCCGTTTTCATTTCGTGAATATAATTGTGAGACAGAAAGACAGACAGATAGACAGACAGAGAGAGAGAGAGAGAGAGAGATAGAGAGAGAGAGAGAGAGAGAGAGAGAGAGAGAGAGAGAGAGAGAGAGAGAGAGAGAGAGAGAGAGAGACGACACGTCCTTACGATCGCATTTGCGAAAATATTACAGTGCAAACGTCTTCGAAATTTCCGACACGTACGATTCGGTTACGCCCGCCCCCGCGATGCGTTCTCTAATCACAACGTAAACACATTTAGAGTGAAATTTTATATGTTCTCCTATGCAGCCAGATACTCGCCCCACGTGTATTTTATATCTCGAATAAAGGTCACTTTCCCGCGGTTAAATCGATAAAGCATCACATCATAATATCCTCACACACAGAAGTTCGAATTTAGTTATAACTTCATTATTCGTACATATCACACATTCATCTCACATGTAGCGTGCTGCAACGTTTTCTCCCATATTATATACTTGCACACCCTAAAGTTTATCTCTGTTTCTCATCATCTCTAATTTTCTTTTGACATCGATAAAAAATTATATATATATATATATATATTTATATATATACTTTTTTACTTCATATATATTTCAATAATTATTTTATCGTTAATTAATTAATTGTTCAATTAATTAATTAATCGTTATATATATATATATCTTATTGTTCCATTAAAGTTTTAAACTAAAATGTTCCGCGCGGTACGCCGGCCATCTCTGGCAAGGTACCACCCAAATATATATACATACATATATGTACATATATACGTTCATATACATATATAAATCTATATGTATATATATTTATAATATATAGTAGCATTCGCTTATTTATCCTTCTTTTTTTCCATTTTTATAACTAGAATCATGAATAACTCACAATATGTCTAACTATGCTTCTTTGAGATTAATTGGGTAATCTGTGCAAATAAGATATCTCACAATTGTTCCTACTGTACCAATAATCGTTCGCATCGGGCAAGGTAAATCGTGAGACTCCCGGAACGGATTGCGAAAATTTTCGATCCATATGTAATCCGCAAATGTCTGTCGCGCGTTCTCAACTTTTTCTTCCCGAACGGTACGTTCTCATATAAACTGGAATTTTCGTCGATTCGATTGACACAACAAACAAAAAGGCTTCGTGTTCTGTTGTACAATGTACAAAATAATGGTACCCAATTTATTTATCTAAATAGAATCATTCTTATAAATAATTATCTAGTTCTATTAATATTGCAATGTACTCCATCTCATAATTCTTGCTCGGTGAGATGGTGTATTCACAAAAATAAACTAATTACTGCCTTTGCAGGCATGTAATTCAACATTTCGCTCTTCAGCGTAACCCGAAGCTGCGTGTCAGACATCTTCTGGTTGTCTCGCGCTGCAAGGCTAGAACCAGGCATTTAAAACGCAGAATTTTTGATTTTATCCAGCCCCACGTATCATGAATAATTTTCGATCAGAAATACATAGTTACTAAAGAAAAATTATTTCCAACTGGACGAAAAATATATATATATATATATAATATATGTATAAATATAAAACATCTCTCTCTAACGCGTGGCACCTAATGGCATCTAATCATTGTGAACGAACCAATTTTCTAAATTGAGCAGGCTTAACTAATCAAAACGAATTGATATGGTGATTGTTGGTGCATCTGCAGTACCTGCGTGAACTAGTCTACGTTAGTTCTGTCAGGTACTTGTTGATCGATACCGCGAAATAAAATATGTTCGAGGCTCAATTTCGATTTTGCACGCGAGTCAACGCGCCATGAAGAACGAATAAAATTTCCGTGATGCGTTTATCGGCCGTTCCCGAGACACGATAATAATTCATCCTACAGGCTTTTGTACAAAAGCTTTCGCCTTTACGTGACTTAATACGCTTCCTCTGTTACCGTATTGTCCTGTTCGATCAAAAATGCTGAAGATGCGATATTCAGTCTAGATTCTAGCAAACGTGTGTCATCCTGAAAGTCAAGATGACAGCCACTGCGCGCTCTTTTGATCGGAGAGCCAAATAGAAAACGAATCTTCAATCGCCACGATAAACATGACGCCCGCTGCTACGTTCTATCGCGCCGTTAAATGCATGACAAACACGATCTCGAGACCTTTCATCATCCACGGACGTACCATCGGCAATGACAATCGCAAAGAATTCTAACAAGAATCCAAGAAAGTAGTATAGCTAAACGTTACTTTACGAGCAAAGCGCAGATGATCGGCTAAGTTTCTTTAGAATATCATCGTCGAGGCGCACCGTTGCATGTCGGCGGCGACAACAGCTCCGTTCGTGAGAGAAATCGGAGTATAGACTGTCGAGAGATTTCCACAAACAATCGCGCGCGGTGATTAACGCGCGGCCTAGAATTTCCAAAAACGAGGTTCGTTGCGCGAGATGCAGGACGTTCGGTGAGGAATTTTGTACTTTTCTAAGATCATCGGCTTGCTGGCATAAAGAAACGCGCTTTAAATACCGTCGCGGCGAGTCCCCTCTGTCGCTCTTTTTTCACAAAGGGAGACCCCCGTCAGAGACCGGTTGAACAAATATTTGTACCATGATCAGCGTTATCGATTTTTTTACATCTTTGAGCGCTTAGCCTGACGAGACTTGGCAGTGCGACGTGACTTTTTCGCGGCATCACTAGACGCCTCCTCCACGATTGGTTTCCGCTTGAACGCTACATTCGAAGGCACGGGAGCCTTTGGGGGTGCCATCTCCATCGCCGGCGTCGGTGGAGATTGTGTGACTACGGGGGGTTGCGGTGCCATCTCGGTCGGACTGTGGGCATCCGCGATGGGAATGAAGTCGAGCCCTTCGCCGAATGTATCCGGCAGCACTCCTTGATTCGCTAAGGCTTGCAGATCTTCCGTAGGGACTGGCATTGACTGGCCGCAGCCTACGCACACCGGTATCGCCGGTGACTTGGATCGCCAATATTGTAACTCGGTTTTGCATTTGTTCAATTCCTGAAAGGTGGAAACGAGGTTTGTGAGATCTCATGCTTGCGACATCATTTAATGTAACATTGCTTGTCGATGAAGATACATTTTTACACTATCAAACATTATTTAAACACTTATCGCTGTCTGATAACTGCGTATTAACTCGGATCTGAACGGATATCTGAAACGTCATTGCACTTGATTCTTCGATCGATGAGTCACATGCATTTTATTATTTTGGTTATGTAACGTGTTAATGAATTTATAAAAGCAGACTTGACGATCGCGTTACACACGCCGCTTGAAGATACCGCTATTACTTAAGATCGCTAGGAAAATTTAGGAAATTTTATACAGGAAAAGCTAGACAAACACAAAATGAGGAAAATAGATATTACATTAAATTCGGAATATGTTCCTTAGGCGAATCGAATGAAGACTTCAGAGCAAAAGTGTGTCGAGTCCATAATTTGTAAGTTTGGTATACGAAGTGCCGTATATACAGCAAATCTTATAAATTATGAACAGTCTATCGACTGTTGCTCTGAAACACTCGAATGTACCTGTGTAAATACCTGTAGGAGTGTGCTGAATTTCCGCGATGTTTCTTCGTTCTTCTTGTCGTTATCGTCCAGCCGGGTGGCGTACTCTACGATCTGCTTCTGCTGCTCGGCGATCTTCGCCTTGCAGCTCTTCAGATCCTTGCGCATCAGCGTCAGCTGGCTATTGTACCGCTTCATGCCCTGCTTGATCTTGCGGATACGCTTTCGTAGAACCATGTTCGACTGTGGCGGCGACACGTTGGATTCCAGGAGGGCCGGGTCGTCCGAGCAATGCGGCGGAGAGCCCTCCTCTCCGCTGGTGTTGCCCGTTTTACTGCTTCCTACGCTCAACGGCGCGGAATCCAGGCACATAAATGGTTTACTCACAGTACTAGAAGCTGCAATGGAAGAAAGCAGGAGAAAATCTCCGGTAAAGCCGCGTCACGAAGTAGCATACAGTGCAGGAATAGTATTTATTCAAGTCAGCTTCACTTACAGAACGTCCCCGCAAGATCCAGGAAATCGGCACCAAAGTAAGGTATTTCCGGCAATGTCGGCTCGATATGCTCTTTGAAATACTCCATAGCCATGGTGCTCAGATCAAACAACTCGTCCGTAACTTTGTAAGGTTTGGTCAGTTTCGGAGTGACTTTTATGTAATAGAGAACGCGATACACCTCGTCCAGAATCTGCAAAATGACCACAAGCGGACTCACATGTGTATTTATGCCAGGTATGATCGTACTCACCTCACCGGGGAAGAAGCAACAATGCTTCCGCTCGATGTGCTTGCCGAAGCTCATTTGCAGCAAAGTTAGCCGCATATGTAGAGTCTCTATAATGTCGGACTCGCAGGCTAACGGGTGATTCCGACGCGCGGATTCGCGTCTGGGCATTTGCGCCTTGATGGCCTGGAAACGGCTCAGCATCTGCGCTTGCAGCTTCTGGAAGGTGGAGTTCAACATTGAACCGCAAATGCGGTCCAGCTGGTGGCAGACCTACGGACGAAAAACCGAAGCACTGCGTAGAATCGAGAGAAGCGTAAAAGCGAGTCCTCGAGCGTGCTGACGGAGGGCTTTATCAGCGCAAACTTGATGTACTCACCGGGCGCAAATGAGCCACTGTATTGTAACCTAGATATCCGAAAATCTTTTCCAGTATCTCAACAGGTAGATTCAGGAGATTCAAATTACGAACAGGTGGAGACTCGGTGGTGGAGCAGTTATTGATGTTGCTAGCGGTCCCTGGTTGGTGTTTCTTCAACGACGAGGTCGCTTCCACTACTTCACCACCTGTCCCGCTGCCACTACCACCGCCACTGCTGCTACTCCCCATGTTACTTGACTGACGAGTCGACACCATTTCTTTACTTTTCAACAAGCCGCTTTGTCCAAAATCTAAAGTGAGAAAGACAATATTTTCTTCACAATATATAATAATAACATACAGATGTTTGTATACATTTGATAAACGACATGAAATTCGTTGGACAAGTAAATAAAACAGATGTTTCATATATAATTAACTTCACTGGATTATTTTCAACAACTTTGAGCTTGCAACACAAATGTGTGAACACATGCTTTATTATGTTATAAAATCAAACATGTGTTTTGCATTATATTATGTTTCAGAAACATTTCCATAAAGGCTAGACGAAATAATATTATGATAAATATTTAGATTGTAATAGTCGACAAAATTCTTTTACATTTACCAACACAATTTTATTTCATCTTAAACTCTTGTGTATACAAATATTTTCTACAAAAACAATTTGGTTTACTGAATAGTTTACTAAATAGATTAATGCTCTATAAAACAAATATCAAAAACATGCAGCTTTATATCTGTCCCATTTAATAGAAATGTTCATGAATATGTCACACATGTTGTGCGTTGCAAGTCGTAAGCTTTAAAAAATCAAGATTGTAGCGGAAGTTAACTCTCAGCAAGCTCTTAGTAACGTTTGTGTATTGTTTTGCTTTGTAGACAAATAGTGGAACTCTGCCAGAGTGAATTGTTGCGTGTTCTCCTATAAATAAACAAACAAATAAATTTCTTTCACTTTCCTCTTGCAAAATTTGCTCCAATAACAATCAGAGTTATTGAACTCTTTCGCAACAAGGCCTATCGAGGAATACGCGAGGAATTGTTCACACGAGAGTGATTCCAATTATAAAACACAACAGGACATTGATACACCAACTCCAACAGAACTGTCAAAAAGATCCTTACGCCAGCGAGACGACAGCGTCTCGCGCGAGATTCGTTCTCAAACAAAATGTTCCCTCCGTTCGAGCGAGCGTTTCGCTTTCATCGCAATTTATACTTGTAACGAACGTACCCGGCCGAATCGTTATCGCGATATCTCGAGGAAACGATCACCTGCTCGTTGCTCGAGCGTTCCGCTCGTTTCGATCTGCTTTCAAACTCGCCCGGTCCTGTCGATTCGCACACGTATCACTCGAAACGGGATTGAAGCTAATTAACTTCTCGTCCTGCGACGAACGGGGTTTCAACAACCGCTGAGAGCACGTTGATGCAATCGCCGAGAGGATTTGGCGAGCGTTAAGGAAATCCGCGAAAGAATCCGGCGGTCAGCAAAACATCGCACGGACGGGGCACCGTCGAAAGTGTTCCACTAAACAATCACTTGGCACTGATTATTGCGCGGACACGTTGCACGAGTTTTCTTCGGTCAGATCATCGCTCGCACCGCAGTCATGGTCAATTGTCCTCGTCTTCTATCAGTTTCCCAAAGCTTTCTAGTGAGCAACCGATCGTCGACCATGGTTGGTCATGAGTGACAACGACTCCGGTCGACTACAACGTATTTCAACACGTGTGTAGCTCCGCGTCGCGGACTGGATTCCAATCTGAAGAGGGGAATTTAATTGAATTCGCGGTTAATTATTAATCGAGAGAGAGAGAGAGAGTATCGGGGCGCGAAGCCGATATTAACGGTCGTGGCGTCGAACAACCTCGAGGAAGGATAGAACCATGGTAGGAAAAAAAAAGAAAAAAAAAGCAGAATATAGATTCGCGACAAGTTGCAGCGTAAACGATGACGATGAACAAAAGCCTGTCGTAGCCGATGAGGAAGGAGTCGAATGCGCACTCAGGACGAGTCGATTTCTCCGCCGACACACAATATTTTTGTCGACAGGCATCGCGACGTTCGTTACATCGTGCGAAAAAAGCCTGCCGATTTCATCCGATACTCAAATAATAATCATCGTCACGAAGACGATAATCGGAAGGTTCACGATCGAGCGTCGTAGAGAAAACGCTAATCTTGAACGAGAACGAGAAAAACAAGAGGTGAAGACGAGGTCTGAGACGACGACAACGACACGATGATGATGATGACGATGACAACAACGATAACAAAGATGACGACGATAACGACGATAAAGCAAACAAAACGCAGGAAAACAAACCGGGTGATTGTGCGCGAGCAATCGATGCACCCACAGATCTCTTCTTTCTCCGCTGCAACCGTAGCTGATCGTCGTCGAGAGCGAGATCGGAGATGAGAGACGGAGAGAGGGAGAGAGGGAAAGAAAGGAGAGACAGGGAGAAAAAGAGAGCGAAGCTCGAGGGCCCGAAGGGAAACGACGTGCCCCGAGTTCGGCGAGCGGCAACGATCACTGTATCCGCGTTGGCGTTTTCAGCGACATTTTGACGGAGAGTCCCTCTTCTCTCCCCCCGCGGCTCCTCTCCTCACCCAACTGCTGCCGCGTTCTTCTCGCTCCGTTTCACTGTCGGAGCTGAGAAGGGTTCTCACTCTCTCTGTCTATCTCTTTCTGTCTTTCTCGTGCCATGGCATTCTGCTGTCATTTTTTCCCGTCCTTTTCTTTCCCGCTTGTCATTCTCTCTCTCTCTCTCTCTCTCTCTCTCTCTCTCTCTCTCTCTCTCTCTCTCTCTCTCTCTCAGGCATCATACATACACACTCGCTATCTCTTTCTCTCCCTTACCAGTTAACACGCTCATGCAGCCATGGCGCACTCGCACGCAGAACCAATAACGGAAAAAAAGCCCGCGCGTCCGGAGCGTATACAAAACGTATTTCGACTCACATCACATCCTCTCGCTCGCACTCGCGCATTACCTGCACTAGCGATCTCCGTTGCGCTCCCACGGGAACGCACTTCGTGCTGCAGACAGAGCGGTTTCGGGGCAGAGCTTTCTCTCTCTCTCTAGCGCCACCTCTCTCGCTCTTTCTCTCGCTCGCACGGCCTCCGTGATCGTATCGAAAATAAATGTTGTCACTGGTCGCGGTAGGTTTACTACCGCTTGGCTGCTGCTGCTACTGCTGCTGCTGCTGCTGCTGCTGCTGCTGCTGCCGCCGCCGTCGTCGCCGCCGCCGTTGATGCCTCTACTACTGCCTACCGCCACCGCCTTCTCGCGCACGCACGCGAATATCGCAGGCGGATAAAAGCACGCGGAAGCCTGCGCGCACCACGCAGGATCCGCGCGAGCCGCCGCTGCTACGCTACGAAGTCGTGTACCGAGGCAGCAACGACGCCGACGTCGACGATGACTACGGCGAGCAACGGCAACGATCTGTACATATGTGTAACCGCGGCGAGAGTATCAGAGAATGAATATGCTGCATGCACGCTCCCGAGAGACAGCACACGCTCGCTCGCATTCGCTGCCTGGCTGCGCGTGCCGCGTTGCGCTGCGCCGCCGCCGTCGCGCAGTGCAATGCCGTGCCGTGTGAACTGTGCGCACGTTCTGTGTGTTCCGTTTAGCTACACCGCGTTGGCTCCGACCTCTTTCGAATGAGTGAAACAAATGCGCATCGTTTGCGATCTGGCGGAAAAGAGAGGCAGCGAGAAGGATCTCGCGCGAGAAAGTGCAGAAAGTGTAGTCGAGGAGGACAGAGACACCCGCTAATCACACGAGTTGAGCGCACGTGCGTGTCTTCTGATTGGCCGACGATCTGCCGTTAATTACGGGAAGACTCTAGTTAGGGTCCGATGACTTTTGGTTTTTTCTTCGACAAAATGCCGCGAACTGTCACTAATACTACGCGGTCCGGATTGGTCTAGTGACTCTAGAGATGTTTCACTGACTGCGACGCGTGCGACACTCGTCGGAGCGTCGCCGAAGGAGAGAAACGTGAGGTTAGGTCGAGTTGTTGCGAAGATCGGCGGCATTGCAAGTTGGTTCGATATAAGGGATGAAAATTTTCTAGTTTGCTGCCGACGAATGTTTAACGGTTCGCTCTATGGTTACTTAACGTAAGTAGCTTAAGTCAATTAAGATATAAATTAGAAATAGTGGTTGATATATTTATTAGGGAAATCCATCCTCCTTACATAGAAACCTTACCGAGCGCGTGTGTCATCAATAGGTGACCTTGCGCGAATTCAAATTTACATGTTAAAGAATCACTTTAAATTGTAAATTACTGATTAGACGTTAAATTTGAATTTGGGAGGGGAATAATGACCCATGCTGGAAGCTATAACGCACTTTGACAGCCTACTAAAACGAACACCGATTGATGAATATTCGTCGATTTTGAATCATATCCCGTAAATTTCCTGTCGATATAAATTTTAACCAGACCGTCGAACAAGCACATCAGTCAAACGACGTCGACCGTGTGAAAAAAATGTTTTATTTATTTGTCCAGTGACTACTGAACATTTATATTTTATATTATCACAACGCGATAAGGTATGATTTAACAGCAAAATAAATCACGTTCCGCGATAAATGACCGAACCTGTCGCGACATAATTATGACATCAATCGTGAATACCACATCACGATCACATATCGCTATCGACGCAGACCAACCTACATAAGTAAACGCAGTTGACGATAATGATGCTGTTGGACGACCACAATATGAGAACTATATCGAACGCATTATCTGACCGATTGTTATCTGAATTTCTGTTGCTGTCGTGCAATCGACGGAATAGTGGAGCGGCAATATTACGCCTCTGGCGTCCACCTGACGGTGCATTATTAAGCGTGGTCAATCGCGCTAATTTTTCAGAATCGTGCTCGCGAAATACAATAATATTTCGTCGCAATTTTCGACGCGCCGCCTGTTGCCCGGCGAGCGTGTTATTTCGCGGCGCACGTGCGTTTACAACTCGATGTTTCATTAACGCTCGTAAAACGCTCGTTTGTTCAGCTCGAATCACGCAGCTCGAGAGAAACACTTAGCCGAGCGGAAATAAATTTAAGATTTTAATTTAAGGGCCGTATTTCATGGAGATTTTTTTGTCTTACAGAAAGTAGAAGCACGGAGTGCATATCCGAGCTTCACGAGCCCCGCAAGATGACAATCGCTTCCAAGATGACACCGATGAATTCGTACTCGAGTGAGGATTTTGAGTGAGAGAGAATGGAGATCCTGAGCCTTATATGTGATTTTGAGGTAATGGATACGATATTGGGATCAAACGGTCGGCTCGACCCAATCGACCGACTTATTGTCGAAATTCATGCGTCGTAAATTCATATTTCTCTAAAGATGGCAATTACAGTGTCATAACGTTACACAATCAAGCCGTAAAAACATATAATCTTAGCTCGCGGATTTGAGAAAGAAATTCGGACGAGTCCAATCTCTCGATAAGCTCTTGAATTGCGTTCGGGATTTCATCGATAGGTACGCGCCGTTATGCGGCTGGTGTGAATTATCACGGCGCACAGGGGAATTAAAGTGCCGCTTGAGTGGACAAAATTTCTAAAGTAAAAGTTAAAATGAAATTTAAAAAATGAACGCAAAAAAATTTAAAGATTAAATTAAAGTTATGAAAGTTATATAAAAGTTAGAGAAGCAAGAAAATAAAAGTGAAAACGATTCTTGTTGAGATTGGGAAACTCATTTTTTTGCCAGCTACTATGCCTGCACTGCTATGACTGCAAATAACGAGGGACTGACGGGTTCCGAGGTTCATTACAAATCAATTTGGACCGTGTACAATGAAGAACGAACGCAATGCGTGCGATGAAGGAAAGGTTTCGTCCACTGAAACAGGCCTTTGGTCCCACTGCCCGGCAGCGCGGAGAACTCGCGCAAAAATGCCGCCTTTGATCACGTATCGCCGTAAAAGCGTCGACCTCACAAGTCGACAACGCGATCCGTCCTTGCTTCCGTTTTTCACGCGTTTTCGCGCCTCGCGGATTTCTATCGCAACGTTTACCGCGTCCGCTTGCGGAACACTTACGACATGAAACGCGCCGGCGTAGCAGGATGGGAAATTCCTATCTTTGATCACCGGAGTCGAAGTCAACGTCGAGGTCTCTTTGTACGAAATCGATCTTTCAACGATATTTCCCGACATTTTCCCGAATTATGCCTTCATTCTCGGTACACTCATTTCTCTATTTCTCGCTCGTCTCTATTTTGCCTATTTCGCATTGCCTATTTCGCGCGTCTCTTTATCTCTATTCTCTTTTATAATCTCTCTAATTCTGTACTGTCAAGACGAATAATGTTTACGTATCGAAGCGATGCGATAAGATAATCCATCTACACACAGCTTACACCGAAAAGAAAATATGTGAGTAGAATTATCAACATATCGAAAATCCCTTCTATATCCGACCAAGTCGGCTCGACTTTTCGATCTGTGGGTTGACTTATCGCTCTTTACCTAGTTTATCGAATTTTATATTGTGTTCTCAAATATGTGTATAATACGTATGTTTGGAGATTCATGATCTTACTCATAGCGGACATAACGATATCGGAATTTAATCTAAAATAATTTCTAATAACTCAAATTGTTTTTTGATAACTCAAAATATTTTCTTGGACAATGGGAAATATTTGAAATATTTCTGACAGTATTCTCAACATGGTACCTTCGATGTTTTATAACTTTAAATATCCGACATTCGACTTAATCCTTGTATTATCCCTCGAGCACAGATTATCAGGCCGAAAATGTCAAATCTTCATTTATTATTATATAATTTTTCAATCGTTTGGAAATTTTTCAAAAATATATATCGCAAGGCGCATCATGCAATATTAGGAATTACAATTACGAGTAATTTCAACATTCTACACAGTCGTTGCATTTTCGGTATAGACGCATGGCAATCAGCTTGTCATTAGCAAAATCCGACGGTAAAAACAGGATGTTATTAGACATACGTCTTTCAATAACCAATTTGGCGATCGAGACCAAATGAGATCTCAAATTGTGCAACGAAACAGCGGCGAATTGCAAAATCGCCGGAGGAAATCACAGAGGAGTAATTTCCGCCGAAACGGACGTCGCGAAATATCGAAAAACGCGGCGGTAGACAAATGCCTACCGTAAGTTATTCGTCGCATATCGCCGGAAATATACGCGCGACTTCCGCACTCGTCGATCGAGGCGACTGCTTAATGCCGAGTAACATTTGCTGGAGATTAATAATAAATCACGATCGTATCGTGGACTGCATAGACAACGCGCGTAAATTTGTACTTTCGTGATGTCACTTCTGCGTGACGTGGAAATGTCCGAGGGCGGGATTCGTTGTGATTAATGCTCAAGTTCTCATTCATTTATTTCACTCCGTCACGGACGGAAGGGTAAACGGCTCAACGTGTGCTACGAAGTACCATCCGATAAACGATGGAAAGTCGCGAAGGTCGGGTATTTTCAAGAACACCGCGCGCGCACGAGAACACTGTTGCGCAGCCTCGTCGTATCGTATTTGCGAGCTACAACGAGAAGCGGCTCATGTAATCAAAACACTCGGCAAAATTAGCATCAGATGCTTCCGCGTGGAACACAGCATCCTCCTCATCGATATTCCCTTCCCCGCGCACCACATAGGTTGCGATACGCGAAAGGTGACCAACGAAGGGTGCGTTCGGGGAGATGCCTATTTTTTAGCGTTACGGCCTATTCGCGGAGCTAAATGCTAACAGACAGCCATCATGACGTCACTATAATGGTAGCGTTATACGCTATAATTACGCGCTATCAAGGTAGTGTATTGATTGCGCTAGCGCGTGTTGGTGACATGATCATCAAACGGTACCAGGGTACATCGTATTTATTATTTCATTGTTATTCATATACGCAATTATTTATATAAACGTATTATTATTCATGCAGGCAATTGCGTTTAAAAAAAGAGGTATTTAAACTGCGAAAACGACGCTGTCGCGTCTTTTGAACCCGAGAAGGATATCGCTTATGGACGATTCTCCTCAGCCGGAGCCCGCGCGGGATTCAGCGTGATTTCACCTGGAAATCGGTCTCGCTTCGAGACGCGAAACGACAGTCTATTTAACGGCAACATTCGTCCGACGGCGAATAAGGGATGCCTCCGGTATACCCTCGTTTGCGGACAACAGTTCGAAGAGGTTTTCCTCGACTCGTTCGCAATAATTGTGATAATTTATTTTCAAGTAATTCTGAGACATTTTTTCAGTGCGCGGCTAAAGAAGCTCGGGCGCCTTGCGATCGCGGCCTTGATCGCGCGAATCCGACGCGAACCATAAAAATCTCGATCCTCTTAATTCGTTCGTCATTATCGGCGCTCGTGATTGCACTCTTGAATTAACATTGCCGGCGAATGCGAATCCCTCACGCGTCCTCGTCGTAAAACAATCCTTCGTCCCTCCCTGCTGACCATGCCGCCGCGGCGGAGTCAATCGCACCGTCGCGAAATAGATGCGGTGGACTCTTATTTAACATGGTCGACCGAGCCGGCAGTACTCAGTCTACCACCGGCGGTAACCAGAGCGATCGCATTTCTTCGCCGATTCCGCCACAACGAGCATCGCTGTCAGTGACGCGAAATTTCATGGTATCTGAAGCCAACGGGGTGAACAATCATGATGGTGCTCTCGATCGCTCCTCTCGGTTTGCTTCTAGTCGCGGGTAAGTCCCTCGCGTTTCACGAATATTACTCAGCATCCGCGCGTCGCAACGCGCGCGATCCTCTGCTTCTTCACACCTGGAAGACAGAGTCTCTCATGTCGCTGTTCTCTTATTGTCCTCTGTTGGCTCGACCGTCGTACCAGGTCCCTGTCGTTCGCCGGTGAAAATTCTTGCATGTTTGTCGGATAAAGCTAACGGGCGATTTAAAATTGCCGAGATAGTCGCGAGATTTTGGCTCCGCTCCAATACTTGCATAAAAAGATTTGGCGTCCTGAATTAGTCAGTGGCTTCTTTGAGCTAATGTCCCTCTCACCGTGTCGAACATCCTTCGTCAATTGTTAACGTGTTTACTATTAAGTTACCGATACAGTTTATTTAAATAACTCTGCCCGCATAACTGCCGTATACTATTTGTCCTTCTACGATTATGTAAGCAGGCTTAATCTGTTTACGTGGATATAGAAAAAGAACTGATCGCTCATCACATACACGCACATGTATATATGCTGATAAAGTAAATACGTTAACATTCAAGCATTGTGTTAACAATCACCGAATCAAACTTTCACTTAATTGTCTCGCGACAATCGCGTGAATTGCTTCGCTGGCCTTACTTTTGCCTCCGTTTTCTTGCATTTACATGGAAAATTTGGCACCTCGCAAGTAGCCTCTTGAAGCGTCTTCTTCGATCGTGCCAAGTTCTCTGTGAGAAAAGCGACGGGGGACATAAATTTGCTTAGCAGGACAGTTCGATCGGTGCGGGTGTGTGCGTTCTAGGTCGGATATCATCCTACTAAATATTACAAAAAGATGTTACGTATTTTTGTCGGACTGCGAGCTGTCGCGTGTTAGTCACGAATCCGTGTGCGCAATCGTAAGCACAAGAATACGGCCGAACGGCGCGGCGGGTGTGTGTTACGTACTTCGGCAACAAATTGCGATGATGATCGAAGTAGCAAACTCGTCGGAAGGAAATAGAAAAATGTGGCTAATGTGGACCGCCAAGTTTATCACGTGAGCTCCATCACGAGGCGCGCAGAAATATCGTGACTCGATGATGATAACCGGATGTACATATAATGAGCCTGCACATCATCGCTGCGTTAATCATTATTCCATGGGACGCGCGCGTCCGTTTAGTAATAAAATATTCCCCGAACGCGACGCGAATCTTGTTTACCAGCCTCGCGCGCGCGAGCGAATTATTTCGTGCCTCGCGCGCGCGCGCGAGATATCCGCCGCGCTCGTCATTAGAATCGGCTGATCAATCGGCCGGTTAATCAACGCGCCGTGACTAAAGTCGAACGAAATCACCCACCCAGTTATTTTCGTTTGTGCTGCTAATAGCACGCTGACAGGCAAATACTGTCAACCAACCAACCATCGCGCGATGCGCTCGTTAGTATGCATCGGAATCGACGCTACACGAATTATCACGTACGTACCTCGCGACGAGAACGCGGGAATCACAATTAAGACGTGACGATCTTTGACCTACTGTCAATAGAAACCCCGCAAAGTCCAACGCGTCCGACTACGGCGGCTCAACTCGACCCACGGAGAGAGTATCGTTTATCCCCCGATAATTAAGAAAAGCCGTTGCTTTCAGCGTTCGCTTTTTCTTTTTTTTTACTTATCTGTTTCAATCTTTCGCGCGATAGATAACATCTCGATCGCATGAGCGCGCGTTTCGAAATGACTGAAACCGCCTTGAGCGGCAAATGACTGAGTCGTTTAATCGTATTTCGCGCGAACAACCGGCGAGTTTTCCAATCAGTGGCCAATCGTCCGCTCGCATTCTGTCGATTCTCCTTGCTTGATTTCGAGTTTCCAAGCTGAGCGAAGGGAAATGCGACGCGAAGCGCGAATTCGCGAAGAAATGATTGATATCTCGTGCGTCCGGTAATTTCCGCGACGGTGCACGCAGCTAATCTCCTCCTCCGGCTAATTCGACGTCTCATACTTCGTTGATGAATTGACCGGTGAAAACGGCGCCAGGCGCGACGCGGCAGCCTTATTAGTTTTCCTCTTCTCGGTAGAAAAAAAAAGAAAAGAAAAAAAACGAGCGGGCGTCTCGTCGTTTCTGCTTATCGTCGAAACGCGCGTTACCTTCGCGAGCAATCAAGCGCATAATTAAAGTAATGATCTAAAACTTGAGAACCGCACGCTCCTCCTGCGATTATCGGCATACGCCGTGCATCCGAAGCGCACGTGAAAAACTTTACGAATTATTTCACATATTCCCAACGACATTATCGTCGAAGGTTGTTTATATTTAAAAAAATGCAAATACCACCGCGATACGCGCGGACAACCGGCCACAAGATAACGCTTGATGAATCGACCCTGCGACGGAATGCACGCGGAATAATTCCTTCAGTTACTGGATAGTCCTCCGTCGCTGATTCTTTTTTTCAATATATACATATAGGTAATTAACAACGGCTTGAAATATATAGATAATTAATAACAGCTCGCTTTCTTAACACGTCGCTTTCCAGTAACCAACCGCGTTTGGTCGAAATAGCAGACGCCGCAACGAGAACTTCTCTCAAGGACATCGTTCGTCCATGTTAACATGGACTTGCAGTTATTCGATAATTATAATATATCAGTTTTGGGATTTTATGTGGATTTACAAAGGCCAATGCGTCAAGCTTGCCGAATTGTGCGAAACATGACTGCTTCGTTTGCAGGCACACGTCCGCAACTAAATTTAACTAAAATTTTAAGTGCCAAATGACAAATGGATGATGTCCCGCGACCCGCGCAGCCTCGTCGAACGAAGGCGATGTCACAAACGTATTTCATACAATTCTGATAACCACAGGCCATATCGATCGCCGTAATCTTATTATTCAAGATTAATGAGAGAGGGAGAGAGAGAGAGAGAGAGGGAGGGAGGAGAGAAACGGGAGGAAAAGAGGCCGATATTCGACTTTCTTAAATTTATTTACAAGTCCGTTGTTACGTATATTAAAGAGCGGCCAACAGAGCACCCTTTCTGAACCGAAAGAGCTCGGCAAATTTGTCTGCGGTGTGAGCAGCTTATTTATTCAACGAGCGTCCCGAAATCTCAGCCACTCGTTGCTGAGTTTACCGATCAGCTCGCGAAGAAAAGAAAACAGACTATCCGTTTTCTCGTGGCTTTTGTCGCAGCTTGTCGTTTTATTCAGCGCAACTTACTGACTCGAATCAATCGAAAGCGACTGTAATTGAATTAGTCGAGAGACCATTTGTCGCTCCGCGCACTCTCGACGTCCGGTTCTTCCGCTCGCGTCCGTCCGCTGCCTCGAGCCGGGAAATCTGCAAAGCAACGGTCGCATCACCGGCCGGATGAGGCAGGGCTTTTTTTTTTTCATCGAGCGTTCCTTCTCACGGTGCGAAGGAGAATTTCGATTATCCTTCGCGGGTTGGCCAGCCGGCCGGCATGCGCCTCGCACGCGCCTCACGTAATCGGGCAACGCAATAAAGAGTTTGCATAATGGAAGGACAACGAGGATGCTGTCGGGAGATGCGTGCACTCGAGATAATCGCGGCGCAAATCAAATCAGTCCAAGGATTTCCAGAGGCGACGCGTCACACGTCGTCGTCGACGAGCGTGCGCGGCTCCCGCTGAAACGAAAGCAACACTCTCGGACGCGGCGAATTGTCGCTGCCGGTCGCACGTGTCGTGCAGATGCGGAAGATCTCAACGAGCAAAAGCGGCAACTCGTACACCGGTTAGATGCGCTCGTTAGCGTACAATCAAGAAGTGTTATTGTGCATAATAAGCGGGGAAACGACCGCGATCGTCTGTCTGTCTCTCTTTCTCTCTCTCTCTCTCTCTCTCTCTCTCTCTCTCTCTCTCTCTCTCTCTCTTCTCGAGAGACGGGCAACTCGAAATTCTAACGCTTTTGACTTCCGCGAGAAACCCTCTGCCAGCGCGCGTCTGGCGGCGTCTAACAGTCGATCCGTTGAATCCGCGGCGATTTATTGCTATTCATTGCCGTAACAAACTTTCATGAAGTCAGATTTATATTATTCAAAGATAGAAAATCTGTTTAGTTTTCTGTTATCTCGAGTGAATAATCCCTGATAGAAAAGAGAAGGGAAAAGGAATCGGCAGATTTGACAGCAAAAACAAGTTGAATCAATTAGTACATTAAATAATGTATTTAACATATTTACGTTTTTATTTCAGATAAACTGATTTCCGTCGGCGGGCGAAAGTCGTGCGACGTTTGCAACAAAATTTCACGTCTGTCAACTGTAAAGTTCTATAATCTGATTGAGTTACTCGAGCTTGAATTGTTTCGTCTTGTATTCTTCCTTCCTTCCAAAGTGCTACTACTATAATGCGTACTAATGAGACAAGATACGTCTATTTAGCGTGAGACAAAAACACATGTCTTACAAATCAATCACAGATTAATCATTACACGCCGATTATCGCGACGCGAGCGGTGCGGCTTGTCCGTCGCCCCAAATGTCACATACGACCGAGCAATTGGAAAAAAATCGCGTTCTCCGCGTTGATACGGAACCGAGTTAAAGCTTCATTTCCCGAACGGTATCTCGCGCTCATCTCTATTCATATCGCTCGTTAAATTGGGACTCGGTTCTATTCATACCGCTCGTTGTTATTCATACCACCCATTGTGTGCGCGCACGTTTTCCTTTTCATCCGACTTCTCACGTGCGCTCACGCCGCGCAATGACTCTCTCAAACGATTATCTCTCCTTCCAGGACTCTGCCTCAGCCAAAACTTCGGCTACGAAGGAAATGACGGTGAGTCTCCGAGCCGAGTTCCGGCCGTCCACGTATCAGCGCGATACGATACCAGACGAAATACCGTTTGTCTTCTTGTTCTCGCAGATCCATCGCACTGGGGTGAGAAGTTCGAGACATGCGTGGGTAAACGCCAGTCGCCCATTAACATCGAGGACAGCAATGTCAAGAACGTCACTCTACCGCCGTTGAAATTGTATTACGCTAAGAAACATTGCAGAGCGACGACCATCGTCAACAATGGGCACACGGGTGAGAGAACATTGCTGTTTCACGAATTCGTCGATTGTCGCGCGGGCTCTTCCCTCCCCTACGTGATGCGAAGGCGCTGAAGTAGACGCACATCTTTTTATCAGCCACGCCGCTAAGAAAGATTCGAAATGGATTGAAACATGGTTGTTAGGCAGTCTGTGGGTCCCTTTTTAGAAAAGCACCACTGACTGTAATAAATCGGACAATGATGAATTATTGTTGTTCGGTAATTAGTCACTGACTAATTTTCATCACTGACTACTACTAGTACTTTTTTTATAAGGGTCGTTGAATACTTGAACTTAAATTGAGTACTAAACTTAAATCGGCGTCTTGGGTCTTGGTTCTTTTCTCCTCGATCGCAACTTTATATCGAAGAGCTTCCTTTACTTTTTGTTTTCCTTATCTTTGGATTTTTGAAACACGTCGCGTCGCTCGACCCTGATTGATACTCCTCTTCTTTTTCCTTGCTTCTTTTTCAAGTTCTGTTATGTGGTGTTAAGTAACGTTACGCTGGTTTGCTTTTGTTAATCCGGTTTCGCCATACGTTTACTCGCGGTCACGTGTAGTCGAGATTGTTTTTCTCGCGATATCTCGGACGTGCCGCTGAGAACGTCCGTCGTGATCGCCTTTCTACGTTCGCGATGACGCGTTCGGAAGAACGAAGAAAAACTTCTTTTCGCAGTCGATACGATTAAAATGAGGAAAAAGACACCATGTCGCGATTGCAATTATCGTTGAAGCAAATAAATCACACACGTGTATCACACAAAGGAACATGGCGGGAGACAAAAACTGCGCGAGCGACATACGTCGTTGGCTTCGACAAGGACTAAACGCGCCGTGAACAACCTAATCAAGTTAATACGTAATCGGACGTCAGATGCAGAGAGCTACTTGGAAGATACTCCTGCGAGGTCACTTACGTCACATAAAAAAGATACTCTACAGAGACTGATGCATCGCGCGCGATAATTGGGCTGTTACGCGTATTGTAATCTTTCTTCATCTACTACTGTTCAGTTATGCTGCAATCCAACTGCCATCCGGTGAAGGTGAATGGAGGACCTCTGGGAAACGATATGTATGTGTTCGAGCAGTTACACTTCCATTGGGGTAAGAACGATAACGAAGGATCCGAGACCCTGATTAACAATCAGTCGTCCGCGATGGAGTGCCATGCTGTGTTTCGGAAGGAAGATTACAAATCGATGAACGAGGCTCTTAACTACCAAGATGGTCTGGCTGTTGTAGGATTTATGTACGATGTAAGAGAGACCATGTTGACATTATCCGTGCAAAGAGAATGTAACATAGATATTTCGCTTTCTTTACAAAAATTGCATTAAGTGATCGTTTCAGACAACTTTATACCTGATATTATTTACTTATTAAATAGAATTAATGTTCCACATTAACGTTTTGTCTCTTATTGTATAGGTAAAGCAAAGAGCAGATCCGATGATCGAATCTATTGTGACAGCATTACCGGGTGTACAAGAACCGGATAAGAAGAAGCAATTGTACAAACCCTTCTCGGTGGTGGATCTTCTTGCGCAAGGCATCTCAAGTCAATGTTATTACACGTACAACGGTTCACTAACCACTCCACCTTGCTTGGAGGTTGTTAGGTGGATCGTTCTCAAGCATCCCCGATATTTGTCACCTGCCCAGGTATTTTGGCATTCAATATATAACTATTAATTATAGTTTTAATTATCTTACGATATTGCTTGTGAAGTGATGTAAAAAATAAATCCGTTAAATTAGCGTGCGATTTACTTGTTGACAGTTTGATCAATTTCTATTTTCCGATTTGGTCTAAATCAGTCGTACTTTCTTGCATTCCTGACAGTTTTTATACATTTTAGATCCTGGACTCATGTTAATTAGGTCGCAAGTGTAAAGTGTACGATGATTTACAACAGATATATTTATATGAATTAATGTAAAGTTTAGCCTTAATGCCAACACAGGCTTCGAAATACGACGTTCCTGCTAATGTTTCTTGCTTCTTTTTAGTTGGCTGCCTTCCGCCAGGTACATACACACGAAGGTACTGAGATGACCCATAATTTCCGACCAACGCAGCCTCTATGGGACCGAGAAGTTTTCGAAAACATTCCGAACGAGCAGCATTCCGGACAGCGTAATAACAAATCGCCGCTGCCCTTGATGGTGTTAGAGACTCTACTGGGGTTCCTCTTGTCGTATTCCGTATAAAAATCTAACGGAATATGCTCTAGTCAACAGCGTTCACCAATTGTTATTTTAATCCTTAAATAAAATGATGAATATTAAATATTATTAAGCAAAAAATAGAATCACGTTTAATCTTGCCATATCGTTCGAGGATTAAGATGTTCAATTGGGCGAATGCTCCGATGTGAATTCTCACGGCTCTATGAGGATCGCATTTAACTGATATGTCAGGATATGTTTTATGTAATATGATTTGGATTTTTAGTATTATACTTTAATATCTTAATGTGTGCTCGATGTTGTTGTAATGTGTATGGTTTAAAATTGTAATACTAGAACGTAACTGAAATGTTCCATGCAATAGAGTAACTGCGACTGATAGCAATTTATAGTTGTTAAAATATTGAGTCAAACACAGGTTCGATTTGATTTTGCATCTTACTCGACAGTAAACTGATCATTTTGTACAATAATAGCCACCTACAAGTGCTGTCAGAAGATCACACACATAACGATGCTGATTACACGGTTGATGAATAATTCAATATAATAAAGTCAATTTTAAAAATCAAACAAAACTCTCTGATCAACCCAATCAAATATGATACAATCAAAATTATACAAAATGTACATGCTTGAAAAAATTTTATATATAAAAAAACTAGTTTAATATTTAATAAAATAATGCAACTGAAGTAAAAGTTTTATACAATAGAATATCACAACATAGTAATTAATATAAGTTGATGTTGATTGTTATTCAAAATAGTGTGTGCCTATAAAACTCTATAAAAATGTATGATTTATTACAAAATATACATATGCATTAATAATAGCAGTTCTATCATTTATCAGGCACATTTACATAAGCCGCCAGATCTTGTTGACCTTGTTTGAGACGTGCTCTTACTTCCTCAGCTATCGCTTTCTGTGTTCTTCTCTCTAAAATCTCTAATTTCTTGGCTATATCTCGCTTCAAATCCCAATCTGGTTTCCTTGGTGCCAGATTACTGATATTCTATGTAAGCAAACAATTATTTCTGTTGAAAATTACAAAGGATAATAGCATAATGTAATTGAATTGAAAATTATGTATATATTATATACATGCAAAGTAGTACAGAAAGTAGCAATATCCTGTAGGTATAACTGTAACTCACTAGTTCTTCAATGACCACTTTACTACTCGCTGCATCCAATTGTTCTTGCACCACAGCTTCCACATCACCTGGTTTCGCGTCCTCTACCACATTGCTTTTCAGACTTTCGTTCTGTGGCTTGTAGCTTCGAAATTTTGGCCTGAAAATACGATATTCGAGTAATTTTAACGGACAGAGAGGTTAGTTGAGGTTAGAAACAAAAACGTTTCGCTGTATCGCTGAAACAAAAAAGTTTACTTTGGCAAGTTTTCAGTTCCATCGTCCTTGTTTTCCTTGCTGTCTTCATTTTGCCTCTTGAGTGCCTGTAACCGCTCTTTTCTTTTCAGTGCCTCCTCCTCCAAAGAACCAATCTTCTCTTCAGTCATTTTTAAATAGACTCCTGAGAGATTTACAGATGGCGCTTGTGACGGCATTTTGACATTTCACGGCACGTGTTCGTTTTAGGTGTACTTTCTGCACTCTGTTTTGTCTCTCTCTCTCTCTCTCTCTCTCTCTCTCTCTCTCTCTCTCTCTCTCTCTCTCTCTCTCTGATTCATGGAATAAAAAATATTATTTTTAAATATTTTATAAATTTCTAAAATATTTTTATTCTTAAATTATTTTATACTTCTCAATAAAAATAGAATGCAGTGTTCACTTTACTTTTTATCGTATATTTAATTTCTTCGATTAGTTAAATTTATCATAAATATGTTATATTATTAAAATAAATAAAAAATGATGAATACATTTGTTAATAATTCGAAAATGTGACTTTTATATTAATTATAATCTGACAGGCGAAAGATTTCAAATTACTAAATTCTTAACATGATGCAACTATTTCCTCCCATAAAATTTACAACTGCAATATAATCTCAATCATATGAAACACTCTCTACATTCTTTTAATTAAAGACTATTTTTGTAACAATTACATCTTCGACTTCTCACATTTTCGACTTGCGATTTATGTCGGACGTGAATGACACATATATGATATTGTTTCGTAAACGAATTAGTTTATTAACATTTATACAAGGGTTCGTACAATCCAGCGTCAGATAAATTATAAGCGGAATATGTCGTTTACATCTAACATACTATCTATTATACTTTATTTTAATGTTACGTTCAGTCGCAAGTCTCAGCTAGCGCTCGTAAAGGACTCGCATTTATGAACGAATCACCGTCAACTTTCGCTCACGCAGTCGCTCTCGCCGAGAGTGCATCGCACCCACATCGATTTTAGCTTCGAGACAAAGTCGGATAAAGAATAAGAAAAGAGAGAATTCGCGCACGCGGCGGGCTCATCATTATTCATAAGCACGCGTCAGAAAGTTTTCAAAGCGTGCGGGCGCGCATGCCTTCGCCACGATCAAATAAACAACAGCGCGAAAAATCCTCACGATGCCTATCGTGCACGACGAATTACGAGAAAGAAAGGACGGCGAGGTGCATCAATTCCTGACGTAAGTTAATAGTGTATCAGTCAATCATAACGCGTGAGATATTGAGGGGATTAATTAATTAACATCGTCGAGCGTAAAATATCTGGACGATGCGAAAAGTATGGAGGATAATATACGCTTCCTCTTTCCCGGATAACTTCAACACTTCAACATATTCGGAAATTCCAAGAGTCCAAAGAGAAACACTTGTAATTGGTAACGTTATTGTAATCTCATTAGTAATGTTATCATTACCGATCAGATTTTGGAAAATGAAACATCCGCGATATCAATGTATCGATCGTTAATTGCCTGTCGCGGACTTAACGTAGAATCTCCTTCACTCGCGAGCGGCGAGTTCTAATGACACAACCTCTTCGATAATTGCGACTTCGTCGTCGAATTTGCGCCGAAACTCGCGAGATGAAGGAAGCGAGATGCCGGTGTCGCTGTCATCTCCGCGAGATTCGTCGATTCGCGGCGCCGGGAGAAATCACGAATCTGTGCCAAACGTTTGTGAAATTGAGGACGTATACACGCGCGTGTACACGCGAGATTGCTCCTCCCGCACCCCCCGCGTCTTCTCTCCTCTCCTCGTCTCGCTGTGTGGCACATTGTGTGTTGGTAGCCGGCCGGGGAAAGTTTATTTACAGTCGAAGAAGCGTTTTCAATCCCTGATGCGCGGTTCGATGCACGACTTCTGCGAGACCTCTGATCCCGGCCGAGCTCTCTGTGTTAAGGCTAACTCGAACGATATATACGTACAACACACAGGCTATGTCGTAAAGCCGTGCTAATCAGCGGCGGACATCAGGCGGCGGTCCTGGACGAACTTGGATTCGACACTTCGCTAAGACGCAACAGAGGCGATTAGATAAATGGATGGAGATGGACAAGCGGGCAGAGTCGTGCAATGACGAAATCCAAGAGGCTCTTTGGCAAATTTGCAGACGTGTTTTACTCCTCCATTGTTTTGCTCCTCTCCGCGAGCGTAATGCGACACAGATTTCACTCTCGGAACTTCGCCGCGAAGATATTTGCGCTTGAATTAGCATGAAGAATCTTCGGTGTAATGGCAAATTTGATATCGATCCTCAAACTGATGTTCAGAATTCTAAAAGTCGCCGTATATGCAGGGTGCTTAACCCATTAATGCCGGCTGGGACAGAAATTTCAATGTTATGAATTTTTATGAAAATTTTAATCCAAAGTACATTACTAGGGGGGTTTTTTCGAGGTCGCTCTTTCCGAATCCGCAGCGAGAATCAGAAAAGAAATGAGTGTTTGTATTGATTTGTAACAGCTTTTTTTATTCCAAAAAATGCGATTTTTTCTCGTCAACTTTTTTTTTTAATCATTTTTTAAATCACGTGAAAGAACTCGATCGACAGGACAACTTTTATTTTGTATAATATTTCATAAAAATGCGTTCATAACGAGTTATTCGACCGAGTTCCCAAGGATCCGGCGATAATCTATGGTGATACATGCATATGATCGCCGTATTGAAATTACTAAATCGCCAAAAAATTTCAGAACCACATATATTTTAAGTACAAGTCTCGAGGACACGATTGGAGTACTTTTCAGTAATATTCAACATTTTTATCAAGATAAAATCCATGATTTAAAAAAAAATTGACTAGAAAAAATCGCATTTTTTGGAAAAAAACCGTTACAAATCAATACAAACTCATCTTTTTTATGATTCTCGCAGCGGATTCGGAAAGAGCGACCTCGAAAACCCCTAGTAATGTACTTTGGATCCAGATTTTCGAGCATTTTCATAAAAATTCGTAACATTGAAATCAACACGGAATTTCTCTCCCAACCGGCGTTAATGTGTTAAAGAAGAGGGTTCAGGACAGTCCAAGGGCAGACAGTACTCACAAAATGGAGGGAAAATGTGTTCTAACGAACGCATGGGTCGAAAAATCAAGATTGTGTATATTTTTCCTCCATTTTGCGAGTATCTACTTTTTTTTCAAATACTCCGTATGATTACATTCGGTCGAATCCTCCGTCCGTAGAGACGATTTTAACGAGTATCAATGACACTCGCTCGACTCTCCCCTAACCGGTAACGCAGCGCACTCGTGCGAACTCAGATAAATAATTAATACTCGCCGTCAGCACTGGAGCGTGTTCTTCCCGACGGGAGATTTTCCTCCTGAATATTTTTCGTTCCAACGCGACAGCGTGAAACCCAAGTAATACGCGTATGCCGATAGTGTACAGCTAACGTGAGGCTCTCCGGCGAGACTTTCGATCGGATCGAATCTTCGTGTTACGCCTGCTTTTCCTTCACGTCACGTACCAATTCTCCCTGTTAACATAAACTTACTGCTACGGTTATTCAAAGATTACGACTTTCGTTTCTTTTTCCTCTTTTTTTCTGTTTTTCTTTCTTTCGTCTTTTCTTTTTCCTTCCTTCTTTCCTGCTTTCCTTCGTTAACGATTATCCATCTTGCTTTCCCTTTTCCCAACGCGGTCGAGCGTGTTCTTACGATTTATTGACCGACGAAGTCGGGGCGGCGGCGCCCGTCGCGAACGCTGTACCGAGAGTAGTAGTGGATGAAAAAAGCGCGGGGATCGAAGAGGGATAAAGGAAACGGTGTTGTACAGTCGTAATGTTATGTTATGTACAATGCTCGTCTGTGTCGCAATTAAGTCGAGCCTGCGTAATCCAGAGGCCGGGCAGATAGGCGGACCGTCGGCAGTCTACCACCGACGAGTACTTGTTTATGGTAACGCACAATCGTAATTAATGCCATTACGCTCGTTAAGGAACGGCGGCTCGCAGCCGATTCACCTGTGAGCAGAATCGCTTCGCGATTTCCGTCTCACGTCGTGCGGAAGAGACTCGCTCGAGAAGCTCTGGACGGAAGTGCCGCGCGCGCGCGCGCGCGAGAGAGAGAGATGCGCGGAGCAAATTTTCGTCCGGCGACGTAACTCGCCGGGGGCTATCGCGAAGACCGCGACGATCTTCGATTTCACTCTTGACGCTGGTATTCAAGGTTACCCGTCGTCACGACGGTATCGCTGAGTTTACCGAGTCATCGTTTCTCTCCCGTGCGCGCGTTCTCTCGCGAAGGCGTGCGAGCCGCGGAAGAACCGTTCGCTGTTGTACGCACAATTGATGTCGTAAGTGCCTCCAACTGGTTTCGTTCTGGGTGCAGTCTTTATTTCCCTTTTCGAGATGAACGTGTCGCGTCTAAACGTACCCTCTCGGTGCAAGGAGGTAGACAACGGCGAAGAGTGACAGCTACGGTCATTGCGTCTCGAGGAAATTCTACCTATTCGTACAGCTACTAGCATTTGACACGCGTCACGCTTGTGAAAGAACTCTCACTTACCTCCGTGAGACATAACATCCGTGAGATCTTGGCCGTCGGTTATTGATCGTCTTCAAGTACTCGCGATCAGCGTATAGACGCGACACGTCGCCTCGAAAAGCGCCCACCCGGAGGCTGTCGAGTAATTTATGATTTCTGTTGCATGCGCGAGTGACACGTTCCTGCTCGAAATCAACGCTCAAGTGTCTCGGGACGAGGGAGACGTCGGATTTGGAAATATGCACTTCTGATTCCCAGGTTTCGTTTCTCGGGACGGGAACGGGAACACGCGGTCCCAAAGCCGACCGAACGGTCGTCCGCTCGCTTTATTTAATTCTACGATGTAAACGTGTGCCAATCTCGTCATTGTCTCAGGTTAGTGCCACTCTCGGCTATTTTTATATAAATTACCCAGACATCTGGAAACACGGGGATCTCTTTCGGTATCTCATTACAGCAGTGATGCGTATCAATGTGAACTTTGCTGTTGCAATTTTGTCGGCCGCGAGATATTACACGCGTACCCGCGTGAAGAGTACGTCGAGAGAACGGAAAGGATAAAAGAGACAGATGAGATAAGAGAAGAGAGAGGGGAGCCAGAGAAGCAGAAGAACAGAGAAGTAGGAAGAGACAGACAGAGAGAGAGAGAGAGAGAGAGAGAGAGAGAGAGAGAGAGAGAGAGAGAGAGAGAGAGAGAGAGAGAGAGAGAGAGCTCGATTTCACCTTACTAATATCGTCCTGTAGCGATTTACACGACTCGTCCAAGTCTTACATCGGTACGCCAATCCGCCCCACGCTCACGCCAGCTTGCCGCGGGTACTCGTGCTGAACTGCTGATAGTTCTTGTTGGGTAACGCGCCCACGTTCAGCGCCAGTACCTTCGACACGATGTTCAGATCCTCGTGACCGCCCGAGCCCTGGACGTTGCCCAAGTCGCCGACCACTCCCGACTGATAGAGTAGATGCTGGATCTGCTTGGCGGGCGTCTGCGGTCTCGCCGGAGTGACTTGCCGATACTGCACGTAGGGATTGTAAACGAACGTGCTGGGCTGGGGGTACCTCGGCAGGGATTGCACATTGAAGTTGTACGTGTTCTTGGACGGCGGTGGCTGCTTCTCCGGGTTGAAGCCGAAGTTGCCGACCGCGTTGAAGGCCTCTTGCCGGTTGAATCGATTGGCCGGAGTCTGGACTGGTGGCTGGAAGTCACTCGAGAAGGCGCCGAAACTTTGCTGTAGCCGTTGCAGGTGTTGCTGCTGTTGTTGCGGCTGCGGCTGCGACTGCGGCTGCGGCTGCGGCTGCGGCTGTGGCTGGGGCTGCAGTTGCTGTTGGAAGTGTAGCTGCTCCTGATAGCTCGTCGTGCGGAACAGCGGCGGCGCTACGACGCTGGGAACTTCTAGAGCTACGCTCGGCTGAAGGTGAACGGAGGCCTCCGCCACAGGTGGATGAAGAGCCAGCGCGTTCGACTGCTCGAAGATGCGCGGCTTCTGCGCCTGGAACAGATGATGCTGATGCAGGCGATAGAGCCTCTGCTCCTCCAGCTGCTTGATCTTCGCTTGCTCCTCCAGGTGCTTGATTCTCGCTTGTTCTTGCAGGTACAGCTGGTGTTGCTGTTGCTGTTGCTTCTGTATGACTTGCTGCTCATATAGCTGACGCTGCCGCACGAGGAACTGCGTCTGCTGGATCTGCTGTTGTTGCAGCTCCGCCAGCTGTTGCTCCAGCAGCTTCTGCTTGAACTCCAGCTGCTCCTGAAGAGTCAGAGCCTGACCGTCGCCTGACTGTCTGTAGATCGGCACGACACTCTTCGGCACACCCAGTTCGTCCTGTTGCACCGTGAAAGCTGCCACCAAAGGTGCCTGGAAGATCTTCACCTCCTCCGCCGAAGGCTTCTCGCTAGTGGAAGCGGATAACGAGGAGTTGACGTTTTTCGGAGGAACCGTCAGACTAGATGCCGTCGGTTTCGGCACTATCAACGAGTTGGAGCTCGCGATTCCGTTGCTAGCGCCTTGTGCCAAACTCTCCGATAGCTGCGTGATCGGCTTCAACGTGATGCTCTCGACCACCTTGTTCAACGAGGACGAGCTCGCGGAGAAGGTTTTCGGTTCCACCGGATCCATCTTGGGTTCGGCTCGCTGTTCATACGTGGCCGGCTTCTTGTCCGGCACGACCACGTTCTGTACGTGGAAGAAGCTCCTGGCGTCATCGTGGCTCGCCTTCTCGATCGTCATCGTCGAAGAACCCGACGGAGATGCGTACTTCTTCACGTCGACGAAGCTCGAGTTCTGCAGCTTCTCCTCGTTCTGCAGCGCCTCCTCGTCACCCGGGAAATCGTTGAACGAGAAGGTGCTCCGTTGTATCGTGCCGACGTTCCTCTTCAGCACGTCGTCAAAAGACATCTCTACGTGCGGCTTCTCGTCATCATCTTTACGCTGCTCCGCCGACTCGGCTTCCAGGTCTGTCAGCGCCTTCAGCAGCGCTTGTCGCAGGTTCTTGTCGAGCTTCACCGGTGCGGGCGCGATCTCCAGGCCCTTGGTCGAGATTTCGGCCTGTTGAGACCTCGCCGGGCTGCAGCGTGCCACCGCTAGCAAAATTGTTATGCATACCTGCGAAAATGCGACGCGTATTGAGACAATTACGTAGATCGAGTTGCAATTCTTCTATTAATATAATTACGCTCGTCGGTTATCCTCGCCGCGACGAGGTAATTAAGGGATAGCATGAAATAACGGAACTCTTGAAGTAACGAGGAAGGCCACGAAAGAAATCTTAAAGATACTGAAAGAGTATGAAGAACTTCTTTCTCGGTCGTCCTGAAATTGCCCGTCGCGTTGTTTGAGGAATACCGATGAATCGTGTTTGCCTTGGTGAAATCGGAAAGCGCGAGTCGGATTCTTTTCAAGAAATTGGTTTGTGCAGGCGAACTCGTGCCGGTATTGCACTCGATTGTCGAATATCGCGAAGTATATTGTAAAAGCCAAATTAAAAAAACAGGGAGGGGGGGTGAGAGAAATTCTCGACACACATGTGGTTTTTAATCCTGGCGAATCGTTTGTTCTGGTCTAATGACTGATTGATATAGCCAGGGGAATTGACTCTGCAGCAGAATTAACCTGAAAATTAGGAGAAAGTTAAATTCGGGCTTAAATCTTCTTTTCTCGAGGCCGTTAAAAAGTGGGCCGGCCCCGCCGTTGCTGCAGTGAATCTCTTAATTATGTATGCGGCTGATTAGGGACTGACGAACTGTCGGGCCGATTTATAAACGTGAACCGGTGACGACACGAGATCCCTTGAACGGAACATTTACGATTGGTTTCACCGTATTGATTCGAGCGAAGTGGACGAGGAAGTGGAGAGAGAGAGAGAGAGAGAGAGAGAGACTGAAAGCCGGGAGTGCGTCCGTCTTCAGTCTATTCCCCAATGAGTACCGTTACGTATGGAAGACTCACAACGGGCCGTAGGCGATTTTCTCCTCCTAAAAACACAGTAAACACGTATCCGTCGGCTTTCGAGCCGACCGTACCGAGGCACCGTTGGCCCGATGGCTCACGTGTTTTTACGTAATTACGCGTACACGCCTGATGACGCGCCGCGGCCGCGGCCGCGACGACACGAGCGTGCATATTAATTAAAAGTCGCGTTTCTCTCTCGCGTAGGGATGCAACGATAAATCGATAATATCGAAATATCGAGAGGAAAATATCGAATATTTATCGATATTTTTTATCTCCGATAAAATCGATGTATCGATATGAATTTTATCGATATTTTTTATCTCCGATATTTTTTTATCTCCGATAAAATCGATATATCGATATGAATTTTATTGATATTTCGTATTTTCCAGTTACAGCTCGGGGCGCGTATTACGATTCTACGACCGAGCTGAAAATTACAAAAGTGAATTCACTAGAATATATATTATGTAATTGGTCGATGTCTATAGTAAATTCGCTCACTTTTATCATTTTCACCTCGATCGTTGAACCGTAATAGATCTCCTGCTCCATGTATGCGGTGATCCCCGGCAAACGACTGCGGTTTATTATATATTTTCTAATAAAAATATGACAATAAATTATGCGAAGATAAAAATGTTTAAAAGATTTTTTTTCAAATTTTCATGTACACTCTTTATATGCGTACGCCTACATGTATACATTTTTTTATATAGATATCGATATAAATGTCGATATTTTTCAAAATTATCCATATTATCGTTATTGGTGGTTCTAAATGACGATAATATCGTTATCGATATTTTGAGAAATCGTCACATCCCTACTCTCGCGAGCGCATCCTCGCAAAGTGGGGAACAGCGCGCGCACGAGCGTAATGAGTTCTCGACGGGTCTTAAACCGTTCCTTATTAGCCGATTTCTCTGCCGAGCACTCCGAGAGGAATAATACAACGCTCTTAATCGTTGAAACGCCGCGCTTCTCGACGCTCTCGAGGATTTCACGGGGAACGTGAGAGGACACTCGCGAATCGAAGCTCGAAGATGCGAGTAAGAGGAGGGAAGGTTTCCTCGGAATTCAGCGGCGGACTCTGAATATTTCTGACAAACTCCTCGCGCACACCCTCGCGCATCCCTCAACTCGATCCGCCGATTTTATCTCGCCGCGAGCCGCCGGTTACGTCGTTATTAAAAACGCGTTTCAAGCTATCACGGTGAATCGCGCTCGCGCCTGGATCACAACGGGATAATATAAATTGCCGGGTTACAAGGCGAGGCGGAGGAGGAGGAGGAGGAGGAGGCGTGTACCGATCAAGGAAGGGAAAGATAAGTGCGAGAGAACTCGGCGGGGATTCCATTATGTTCCCGTTGCAACCCGAATGCAATTAGAAGCACGTATCTTTAATTACGCACGTGAACGAGCTGCGTACGCGCGGCTCTTGGGAATAAACTTTGGTATTTAAGTGGAGAGAAACTCTCCCGGTGGATGTCTCGGAGCTTTGTTACGTCCCGCTGCGGGTAATCGGAACTGAGAACGCGACGAGGACTCTCGTCGGCTGCTTAACCCCTTCGAGATCCCCGCTCATACGTTTGACCCGGACGCTCGTCGATTTTTCTCTCCTCTCCTCCAGGCAGGCAGCGTCAGCTCCACGGCATTCCAGACGGCCGGCATTCTTGCGCCAAGGAAAACGCGCTTCGAAACGCGCGCGGCAGCCTTACGAACTTACGAAACTCGAAAGAAACGCGCAAACACCGTCTCGAGTCTCGTCTCGAAGTTTCTCCCTCCCGTGTAAATCACACACACGGGGTCACTAATTGACGCATCCCGACGCTCGTCAGCCGCTTGACTTCTTGCACGTCCGATCCATTAATAATAGTCGCGTCTTCATCGGGTCTGGCTCACCACGCCTGGCAATTGCACGCGAATTACCCCGGCGATTACGCGACGACGACGGTCTCGATCCGCGGGATCCGCGCTCCTCCTCAATTACACGCTTCCTCGTTTAACGTACGGTGTGCGTTTCCCAGTCATTTTCGTAATGACACGCGACCACGAGTGAGTGAGTAACGTGAGACGTAACTCTCGGCTTAAGCCGATTTCATTATCGAGACGGCGAGCGGGCGAATCACGAGCGCAAAGGACTCTCCCTCCCCCCGTCCCAGCGTGGTTCGCCGATTTCTCGTGCGGAAATCGTAACGGGGCGGAATCGTAATCCATCTAGGATGGAATGCCGGGAATGAGAAGCCGGGGCGTTACGCCCCGGAAAGGTCACGAGCTACCCACCGGGAGCGATCGCGGCCGATTGAACTTTCACCCTCGCGATCGGCAGCGCTCGCGTCAAATTGCTTCGGTGGGAGTTGCGACGCGGCGCGTTTCTCGCACGCGCATTTTCGCCACGAGGGAAAAATCGGCCTTCGCCGCGTCGTAAAGCGAGAGAACGACGTTGCTGTCAACCGTAAAACTCCCTCATCGGAGCCCACGTGGAGCTCGGTGAAAATCAGCGGATTCCTCGCGGGCGTGCGTTAAACGCTCCCGCGTGTGCAAACAACAGAGATAAGAAGAAGGAGAGAGAGAGAGAGAGAGAGAGAGAGAGAGAGAGAGAGAGAGAGAGAGAGAGAGGGACAGCGCAAAGGGAAACAAAGCGGGGCTGATCCTCTGACATTTGTGAGGAAAGTTACGCCGCACCTTCCCAGAAGGAAGAAGAGAAAAGCGACACCAGGGAGGACGGCGCTGGCGGGGGTCAACTGCGAAGATACGCAAACGATGGAATTATCAAATTATGCATACTTTCCGAGCGGTAACGAGCTCGACTTTAAGTAGCCCGGCGCTTTTGCCGCGGGAGAAAATCGCTTAAAGTACGGACCGCGCGTTGGGAACGTGCCGGCTGAATTATCCGCTAATTTACACATAGTAAAACCGCGCGGCCGCCTCTTCTTTAGTCATCCCACGTCATAAAATCTTGTGTTTCGCGCTTCGCGGCGGTTGATTAATCGCAAGAGCCGCTAATTTTCCGGTAAGAATCCGCCGGGTGAGTCTTAACTTGCGCCCGACTCGCCCGACTCGTCGTTAACCCTTTAACGCCCGACTTTTTATAAATGTTTTAAGAATAAAATTTGAGTTTTTTTGAACTGAGACTATAAGTAGTGATAACCAATAAAAATATCAGAATTTTATATCTACGAAAAACTACCTTTCCAAACAGAAACTACTCCCAGAAGTAAAAAATACGCCTGATCGGTTACATTTTTTTTTTTTTAGTTTTGATAATTTCACATCATACCTAATGGTTGGAAAAATTTCCTCGAAACATAAAACTTATATTCAGAACTTGATCTTTATTTACCCGGAATGGAATTGCATCGAGAGACGCAGAGGGGAATTTTACAGGTTTTGCAAATTATTTTTGTCCTGCTTTGCTCCTCTTTCGAGCTGCACAATTGAACGTCTTTTATTGTTTTCCTCAAGAAGCATGTGCTTGTTGTAACACTTTCTGATGTACGAAAAACGAAAATTAATAATTGACTTTTGAACGGAAAATGTAAAGTAATAGTATTTGTATTTTTTTTGTAAATATAACTATATAATAAACATATAATAAATATATAATATAAATATATAATAAAATATATTTGTAAATAAATTTTATAAAAATTATAAACATGGACACACTTAGAAATGGTGCAGATGGAAAAACCGTGAGACAATTACACGGAAAATCAGCATCAATCGTTTACTTCTGAATAAATGAGTACATGAAGTTTTCGCTTTTCGTTTGTTGCTTTCGCTAGTTTGGTTTTTTTATCGTTCGTTTTTTATTTATTGGTAAATATGACTTGGATCCTAAAAGCATATAGGAAATGAGCAACCTATACAGAGGGAAAAATGAAGAGTAATCTATACGACATAACTCTGATAGTCAGCTTGACATTTTTCAGCTGAAACTTTACTATATTTGTGAGTGAAGTTTATCATTCAGAGCGTCAAGCTTACTATTTCAGAAGAATATCTTATAGATCACCATTTAGATAGTCAATCGTCTCTTCATTTTTCGCCGCATAAAAGACCAGATTTCACGAAAATAGGTTGATTTCTTGATTTTCGTGTCCACCATATTGGATTCGCCATTTTGAATTTCTGTATTCTTTTAA